TGAATCCCAAATGGGCACGTGGGAAAGCAGCACCTGTGCACACCCACCCCCGTGACTGAGCCCCAACAAAACTCGTGACACCCAGCACCACTCACCCAGTATTTTTGGGTCTGGCCATCAGGCAGCTGCTCTTCTCCCCACCTGCGTTGGAAGGGCAGGACAGTGAGACGGTGGGGGTCCCAGGGCACCCCATGGGACTGCACCCCATACTGTGAGCATCACTCCACGGGGCACTGCGACAGCAGGGTGCTGTGTTGACCCCGCTCATTTCCTGGCTCCAGCACCTCCCCAGAGGCCAGGCAGAGGCATTTCCATCCGCTCCCGAAACGCAAGCAGGTATATTTAGCCATGGGGAGGAGGAAGGAAGCCACCGGCACAGGGCAGCTGTCCCCGCTCCCCTCCTCGGGCTCTGCACCTCCAACCCGCCTCCCTCCTTGGAGGGGGCTGAGCACCGTACACTTGTGTCACTTGTGGCCACAGCCCTGGGATGAGCATCAGTCCCCGGCAAGGCTCCCCGCCATCGCGCCCTGCACCCTCCTTCCCTCCCCGCTTCCTCTCCCTGCCCAGAGGAAGGCGACACCTTTCCTCCCCCAAACAGAATGTTTCTCCCTGGAAGAGCAGGGCTCTCTGCACCCCTCTGAGCCCCCCATGCCACCCCCCACCTACCCAGTGATTTTGACGGAGTGGGTCCCGTGTCTCTGATGCTTCGGCCCCTTCCCCTCGGCCACCGGCGTGTGCCGATAGATCCCGCTCTTGTACATGAAGAAATCCTCGTGCACCTCCAGGATGGCTGTGGGCAGGGGGAGAGGGTCTGGGGACGCTGGCCCTGTCCTGGGGGACAGTGCACCGAGCTCCTGGGGCTCCACGTCCCCCAGGGTGGAGCCTATGGGCACCGGGGACACAGGGCATTGCCCAGGAGGAAGGAAGGCAGCAGCCGGATCCTCCCCCAGGCGATGTGACAAGACTCAGAGGAGGATTAAGAAAAAAAAATAAATAAACCAAAACCAACTGCCAAGATGGAGATTAAATCCCAGGAGTTAATGAGCAACAAGTGCCCGCTGGTGTGGGCAGCGTGACGGGCACCCTGGGGCTGGAGAGAGCACGGCGCTGCCCAGGCACGTGGCTAAACATTAAGCAGGGAGAACAGCCAAGGTGGGGGGTCCTGGCTCCCACACCGTCCCCCCAGCCCCAGGCAGGGCGGTTTCCCCCACCCACCTTGTCCCCCCTGGCCATTGCAGCACTCAGCTTTGTGGCATGAGGGTGGGGTGCCCATGCCGGCTCCCTACCTTGCACGGGGCCGTTCTCCATCAGCTCCTTCATGATCTCCTTCTCCTGCAAGCACAGAGCCGGGTGGTACCAGGGTCGGGACCCCCGGCATTACCCTCCTCACCCCCCACAGACGCAGGCAGAGGCTGTTTCGGCACCCACAGGTGGGTGTTGTGGAGACGCCGGGTGCAGGAACCACTCCCCTGGTCGCCTCCGCAGCGGGTTTTTCCCAGTTTCATTTCCAAACTTGGCTTTCCCAGGCAAACCACCCCGAGCCAAGCCCCTTCCCGCTCCCCACACCAAACGGCTCCTGCTTTGCCCACGCTAGTGGCTCTGCCCGTCCCGTGGGCACTCACGCTGGAGGAGAGGCGGTAGGCAGGGGTGGACTGGTAGATCTCGTTGGCGTGGGTCTGGG